TTGTTTATTTTGGTGTAAGAAAGCAGACCCCATGCTGTGTTGAATGCTCCATTGAAACTAAAAATTGAAAGAGGCACTAAGCTCATCATATCTCATGATTATGCAAGCCTGATTCTCTTCTCCCGGGGGGGGGGGGCACCCTAATTTCTAACCATCATTGATGGTTTATGAGGATTGAAGCTTTCAGTTTGAACCGTCTTGATTTAACGGTTCTTGCATCAGAAAATAACTGCATACTTGTTTTCGCTAGTTTAGCAGCCAGTATGATTAATGGATGCATACATTGCTGCTGTCATTGAATCGGGCCTTGTTTTTTCTTGTGATTTTCTGTTGCTCCTGTCTTTGTTCTCTGGCATTAGGTGATCATCGTTTACCATTTTGGTGGCTGACCAAGGTTACATGAGCAGCGGCACTAGATTTTTTATTTTGAAAGCTATGACATTTGTTACTTTGACATTGAACTCGTCACGTGAGTATGACTAGTTCCAATAAAATATGTTTTAATGAAATTTCTCACTCCGACGTCACAAAATCTAATAAAAAATTATATTTTATTAAAGCTCATCACTAGGGTTGTAAATGAGACGAGACAGATCGCGAGCTACTCGAGATCGACTCGATCTTGGCTCGATAAATACTCGGATCGAATGGCTTGACTCGAGCTCGAACTCGACTCGAGTTCTTAACAAGCCGAAACGAGCTACTCGATACTCGACTCGAAAAGCTCGTGAGCAGCTCGAAAAAATGTTATATTATAATTTTAGATTTTTTAAAATTACATTATTAAAAATATATTAAAAATACATTATTGATGAATAAAATTCCAAATGATCGAATACTCTTTGAATCATACTCAGCAGTATAACCTTTGGAAATCAAACCTGTAGTGTCGAGTTAATAATTAAGATATTAAGTAGAATAACATTGATATTTGTTCACAACACCATACGATTATGATGAATGAAATTTAGAATGGATAAATTTATACTAAAAACCTCGAGTCTGCCAAAAATGAAATTTCCCTGGTATCACTGGCTAAATATTTTACAGGAGGGCTGACAACTATGCAACCATTTCTTAAGAAATTTTTCCCATCAGTATTACGTAAAGCAACAGAGGCTAATAACATCTATTACGTGAATGATACCTAAGTTTTATCCTCATTTACTTCACTGTACGTTGCTGGTTTGGATGTATCACTGGTTGCTAGCCGCGTCATTGGGTCGACGAAACACAATTGTGTTAGGTGGCCTCACATTCCTTGCTAGTGATGCCGTTAATGGGGGCGCTGTTAATGTTACCATGCTTATCTTAGGTCGTATCTTGCTTGGACTTGTGGTTGGTTTCACCAATCAAGTAATTATCTATTTGTCTTTGTCCTCCATCATATCTGTATGCATATTTCTGTTAAAAATTAAGATTGTGATTTAAATACCATGTAAAGAATTAACTTTTAGTACGTGTATAATCATAAATGCACTAACAATGTTTAAACAAACAATTAATATTTATTGTAAACTTTCAATGAAGGCAACTCCTATATACCTCTCGGAAGTGGCACCCCCAAAATGGCGAGGTGCTTTCAACACATGCTTACAGTTCTTCACAGGCATTGGGGTGGTGGCAGTAAACTGTATAAACTTCGGCACTGCTAAACAAAGTTGGGGGTGGCGTATCTCTCTTGGGCTCACCATAGTGCCTGCTGCCATGATGACAATCGGCGCACTCCTGATTTCAGACACCCGCAACAGCCTAATAGAACGAGGCAAAGAGGAGCAAGCCCGGGAATCTATTCCGAAAGTTTGTGGGAAAGATTGTGATCTGGAAGCTGAGCTTACCGAGCTTAAAAAGGCCAGTGACGTAGCCAAAGAAGCAAAGCGAGAACCCTTTGTGACAATATTTGAGAGGCACTATAGGCCTCACCTAGTTATGTCAATTGCCATACCATTTTTAGAACAGCTTAGGGGGATCAACATAATTGCCTTCTATGCACCGGTTCTATTCAAATCAGTTGGTTTGGGAAATGATTCAGCTTTGTTAGCGCCTATAATATTTGGGTTAGTTTATCTGGCGTCAGTCCTCGTGTCTACTTGTGTCGTTGATTGGTACAGTCGGAGATTTTCGTTCATAAACGGTGGAATATAGATGTTTGTCTGTTAGCTATGCATTTTCTCTTGTTATTTGCATATTGTTCTCGGTGTCCATTGTATCAATTGCTATATTTACATTGCTTGTAAAAAAATTCTAAAGGTCGGGGTGGCAATTGTGCTAGCAGTTACAACAGGATAAATGATTAAACAAATCATTCCATTTTCACTTGTCAAAATGCAGCAACTTCAAATCATAAATCATAAGTATTTCTTCTCTGTTATGAAAGGATTCTTGCTCAGATAAATTTTGTTTTAGCTCTCACTCAATGTATTTCAATGCAAAACCCAAAACAAAAAATCTAGTGAAAGAGCTGAAAGTTGAACCAGAAACAATGGTGGAGAGCTCTGTGCCGATCTTGAACTGAATCAGGTAATCGACCGTAATGTTGGGGATTTATCAGGTGGAGAGCTCCAGAGATTTGCTATTGCTGTTGTTGCCATACAGAATGCTGAAATATATATGTTTGAAATACATTGTCCTATGTGAGTTGATATCCCACATCGGTGGTTCTTGGGGAAAAATGGGTAAGTCGAATGTATAAAAGGGGATGGGTTTCAGCAAAAGAATATTAACCCATCCTCAAGCTTAAGTCAAGCTTGAATCGAGCTCACAATCGAGCTTGAATCGAGCTCAAAATCGAGCTTCAATCGAGTTCGAGTCTCGAGCTTCAGTCTAACTCTTGAATTTTTTTTGAGTTCGAGCTTTTTCGAGTTTGAGTCGAGCTTCAATATTATCTTTCGAGTTCGAGCCGAGCTTGAAAATTTTAGGCTCGTGAGTTTTTGAGTCGAGTCGAGCTTATGTTTAAAGTTTTCGAGTTCGAGTCAAGCTCGACTCGACTAGTTTACACCCCTACTCATCACTTCGACGTGATGAATTTAAATACAAAAAAAAATTATTTGGGCGATACATGTTTCTCGTTTATGGTTTAATGTATGTACACTTGTATACAAATACCTAATAATTTTAGAATTTGTGCATGTTTAGTACAATTACTATAGCACGTTTTGAGTGTGTTTTGTATGTGTTTCACATCTCGATAATCTATCATCCATCATATTAAATTTCTTCGCCTCTGTCTATCATGTTTTTTGTCAAAGATTTTTCACGTAAATTTATGTTGTCAGAAAGATATTTTTGGGATTAAAACCACTTATTTTTAATTATCTTTGATTAATTTTTAATTAAAAAAATACGATTTTAAAAAAATCTCACACTTCAAAAAATTTGGGATTCCCTTTAAATAAAATAAAATACAGTTCGAAGAGTCGTCACCAATATTTGATTAGGGTGTGATTGAGCATCCAAAAATATTTTGTCATTTTAATAAAATAATATTAATTTTAATTAAAACAACAAATTTGCAGTTTGCGTACCAGAAAATTGAGTTCGAGAGTAGGTTACGTGTGGGGAAGGATTAACACCCTCACAGCACCCTAAATCGGTACCTAGTCGATTAATTAATTGTCTTTGCAATGAAATTTACAAGTTCGAATTTAATTTCATTTAAGATCCCTTAAAACAATACTCTATGAATTTTAGAATGAAACCTGATAATATTTAATTATTTCCTATCGAGAAGAAACTACCTCTCATACCTTAAGACAATCAATTCTTACTCCAATCGAAATAAAAAAAATATTATGATTTCATTGTAAAATTCAAATGCACGAAATTAAACAAATTTAATTAAAACTTACAAATCCTTTTAGAAAGAAGAAGAATATTCGATTATTTAAAGATGTCGAGATCGGACCTTAGATAAATTCTAGCCATCTTTTCTCAAATAATTTAAATAGATGAACATTTCTTTTTCTCTCGTTTCCAAATTTTAGGTGTAGTCAAATTTTAGGGTTTTACTTAACGAGATACATTTTCGTTTTAAATCTGTTGGAAGTAGCATTCTCATAAGTTAAGACAACCACCTCACATCAATTTTAAAACGAAAAGGTATTATCCTTAGTCAAATTATTTGGATCGAATCAAGTTATGCTTGTGAGGATATCATACATCTCATGAAAACGATGTCATGTGATTCTTAAATTAATCATTCGCATACTCATACATATGTAAACATATCAACATGTAAAACAAATAAAAACAACTAATTAAAGAAGGCAAATACCTAACAAGGGCTACATTAAAAGTCAACAAAAAAATTCAAAGACTAAAAATGACTATACAAGCTCATAATAGGGACTAAACCTAAACTAAGGCTCTAATTAACCATAATTATTTAGTAGAGAAGCTACCTATCCTAGGGGTAAATTCTAAAGCCTAAATAATGTTAAATAATGTTAAGGAAATGAGAAGATAAATTACTCATGCAATAAAATTTCTCTTGCGAATTTAAATATGTAAAACAATCTAATTAATTAAAACAAATCAAAAGAAAATAAACATGAATTTTAATTAGTACGTTAATAAATTAAAAGAACAGGAGATTAAATTAAATAATTACTAAATTAATTAGGAATTAAACAGGAACTAAACATGCAATTAAAATCAACCAAGCGAAACAACAAATAAATAGGGATTAAACGTAAAAACCAACTAAAATATGAGGGGTATGAACAAAATTAAACCAAACAAATAAAACAGGAAGTAAATCTGGAAAATAACGATATCATGACAAATAAAATAGGTCAAATTCGAAAATGAACCCTACAGGTGACCATTTTGTGAAAAATCGCTTAAGTTTTGGGGACTAAAACTTAATTTTATCCTTAAGCTTCGGTGGCTAAAATGCAAATACGCGGCTAAGTTTTGGGGCCTAAGAACAATTTACCTAAAAACTTTAGTATTTAACCTATACCTTTATTTTTTTTCATTTTAAAACCTTAACCCTAAAAAACATCCTCTCTCTCTCAACCCCTACCCCCTCTCTCTCGGCCGCCGTTCTTAAGAACCACGCGATCGTCGCTGGGTATCGGGTTTCGGTGCTTGTTTCACTCTCCGATCAGCACTAAAACGATGGTCTAAGTGACCAGGAAAGCCTCTCTTTACCTCTGTTTTCTTAACACTCTTTTTCTTCTTGATCGAAAGCAACCGATGCTCCCAAGATGACGCCGACCACCACATAAACGCTGTAGATCCGCTTCTCCCTTACTCCGACCATCACGAGCGTTAATGGGTAAGTCTAAACAGCCCCTAAAGCTGCCGTCTTACCTACCCAAAACCTATAAAATGAAGCCCCACAAGCTCTAAACCGACTCGCAAGGCCCAAACGGCCAAATGACTCAGCCCTTCGACTACCCCGTGAACAACCACGACTCTGATGAGGACTCAACCGACCCAGGTAACGAAACTCAAACTCTCTCATTTTTCTCATTTTTGGTTTTTTTTCGAACTTGTTTGGGTTTACTAAGACTAACCCCAGCCCTTTATCTCTGACGAATGAATCCGAACGGCTATGAGACAGAGCTGACGAGAATCCACCGGCGTTCGTACAACCCAGGTAACTCGACCCTATCTCTCTATATTATGTTTATTTCGAAACAAAAACACACACACCACACACTGGAAATAAAAAATGAATTAAAAAATACCTCAAGAAATTGCAATTGCCTTTTCTAATGCTTTCCTTCGTATATGTGAATCCCATTCTTTTATAATTGAGAAATTTTGGGGTTTTATAGAACCCATCTTTGTTACAAAAAATGTGAAAATGTATTTTTTCTATTTTTTTTTCTGTCTTCTTTCAACTTGCACCTTGGTTGCTGAGGGCCTTATTGGCTCTGCCATATCCATTTTTTTGCCAGGGGATACTGTGAGAGCCAATTTGGTATTTTGCTCGTGAGGCTCGAAGGGAACCAGTGCTGAGCGTCTCACATGGCCATGGGACCATTGTTGCTACTGATGTAGTGGCTATTCACATGAAGGCATGAGGTTACTGCTGGTGTGACCATCCACGTGGAAGTATTGGTTGAGGGGGCTGCTGTAAGATGTGGAATCAGCTAGGGTTTTTTTTGTTTAGCCGACCCTTACTCAAATTTGGGTCAGCTAGGCTTATTGGGTTTAGGTTAGGAATTGGTTGTGGGTTATGGTTTGAATGGATTTGCATGATTGTAAATGGCCTTGGATATTGGACATTTTAATTCAGACCCTTTAATTTGGGTTGAGTTTGAATTTAAGCTTGAAAACCCAAAATAAATATGTATGATCACCAAATCCACATAGGTAACTTGTTCAAAAATTCTCAAAACCCTTGAACTATTTTCCATCCCGAAGCCAGTTGAAGCAAATTGGCGGTAATATACAAATGTCTTTAAATTGATCCTCGATCGCCTTTAATGAATTTAAATCGTTCGAACAAAATTAGGGTATTACAGTTGTCCATCTTTGTTTGTTATTGTGAAACGATAACGAAGCAAAGACAAAAGATAGCCTAATTTTGCCTGGTTTGGTTGTAAAGAATTCGAAAGGTTAGTCCGCTCCACTGCAACTTCAGCGTAGGTTGGACTTGATATGCTCTACTATTTCGTGTAATCAGATCTCGAAAATTTTTGATTCACTTTGCTGCTCTTCAGGGAAGGTTGTATCGAATTTGATTTGCTTCGTTGCTCTTTAGGAAGACCAAATTTGAAAGAAGGTGAGTCTGCTCCATTGCTCTTTAGGGGAGATCAGACTCATAAATTTTGATCCACTTCGCTTCTTGTAAAACCTATTTCCCGTATACGTTTCCGCACACGAGTCACAAATGTCGCATGACTTTTGAAACATTATCGATACTTGAAAATCAGTAAAATTTTCATTTTCTTTAGATAAAATCATTTAATAATATAGATTATAAGACATTTTCAATTATATATATTAAACACGTCTAATCCAATTAGCAATACTAGTTCATGTTATCCATATTTAAAATCAATATAAGACGATACAGTTAATCTATTACAAACCAATTTCCAAAATATTTAATTAGAGCTAATAGGATAATCATAAATACATTCCACTAAACTAAGTCAAAATTTCATCATAGGATGTCTTACCGATATTGTAATATATTCCTTGATGCTTGGAGTTGCTCGATACTCTTTACTTCTAATCTCGGCTTTTACCTACGCGTGAAATCAATACACGTTAAGTATTTACTTAGTGAGGCATAATAATACAAAATGAAATATACTTAAATATAAGCATATTCCAAATTATCAAAATACAAATGAAAATTGTATAATTCATATCAATACATCAAATAAACTTGGTGAACCAATATTCAATCAAATAACATGATAACTATCTTTAGAATGGCCAACATACATATCAATCAATATTTTCTAATTTATCCATTGTTTTCCTATTATATGTTGAATGAAAATCCATAGTACATGAGTTGCACCTAAATGTCGTAATTAAAACATAAGAATATCATAACTATCAAAATACGAATTTATTATTTTCATAACATTATAAGTTATTTGGGGTGCACACGTAGTGTCGATACGGTCATTCATAAGCTCATTATGAATTACGTGGGTTGCACACATAGTGCCGATACGGTCGTTCATAAACTTATTATGAATTACGTGGGTTGCACACTTAGTGCCGATACAATCATTCATAAACTTATTATGAATTCCGTGGGTTGCACACTTAGTGTCGATATGGTCGTTCATAAACTTATTATGAATTCTTTGGGTTGCACACTTAGTGCCAATACGGTCGTTCAAAAACATATTATGAATTCCGTGGGTTGCACACATAGTGTCGATACGGTCATTCATAAACTTATTATAAATTTCGTGGGTTGCACACATAGTGTCGATACGGTCGTTCATAAACTAATTATGAATTCCGTGGGTTGCACACTTAGTGCCGATATAGTCGTTCATAAACTTATTATGAATTCCGTGGGATGCACACTTAGTGTTGATATGGTCGTTCATAAACTTATTATGAATTCCTTGGGTTGCACACTTAGTGCCAATATGGTCATTCATAAACTTATTATGAATTACGTGGGTTGCACACATAGTGTCGATACGGTCCTTCATAAACTTATTATGAATTTCGTGGGTTGCACACTTAGTGTCGATACGGTCGTTCATAAACTTATTATGAATTTCGTGGGTTGCACACTTAGTGTCGATAGTACATATAGTATTGATATAAAAATGCAAAATATGCATTTAACAACATGCACCTATAACTCTCAATGTACATAATAAATGTACTCACCTGGTTTGCCTCACTATTATGCCCAGAATGTAAATCCGACGAATCAGTGAATTTCCTTGCCTTTCTATTTACTGACTCGGGAGCTTGATTTCGATCTACATAAGCATCCATAGTCACACATACAATATGATGTTAGTATACTTACTAACATTTATCTAAAGGACTAGTATTCAAAAGTACTGTTAAATTTCGAATTCTATTTGCATTCGCTTTAACTTAAAATTTTTGATTGAGTAGTATCGGTACCCCTCCTATGGTATCCATATTTCCCTTCTATAGTACCGATACTCCTTTTAGTATCGATACCATTTTTACATTCTGGAATCCATTTCTCAATAATGGTATCGATAATTTCCTCTTGGTACCGATACCCTACTTCAATATCGATACTACTTGCATCAGTATAGATATTGTTCATCGTGTTCATCCTTTTTCCTCAAATTTAACCCTATAGTATCAATATTGTTCTTCCAGTACCGATACCATTACCCATATTTTACATATTTCAATTCAATTTTTAACACATTTCTCCTAAATCGCTTATTTTTATCCCCAACTATACAAGTAAACTCATCATTAATCAAACCAACTGTTTTACATCCATAAATCTCCCTATAACATCCAATAACTCCAAATAACCCTTTAAAATTAAAATCACACCCAAATTTCAAGCATGTTTTAACAACTTCTAAAGCTTACAATCTCTTATTTACCTATTTGACAAGTCAAATATACCTTTAAACTTCAATAAAGAACCATATTTCATCATATCACTCAAAAACCCAATTTCTTAAATCTCAAATAAATCCTTCATCTTTTAGTTTTAATCCTCCTTGAACTTTCCTTAAGCCTCTAAAACACTTAAGGTTTCAAAACTAACCTTAAAACAAAAAGAAAAACCAACATTGAAAATTCCTTACCTTGGCTATGGAGCGCAAGGGACTACATGAAAGAAGAAGAGAACCACTTTGACTTATCCCCCTATTTCCCTTATTCACTCTTAATAAATATCTCAATTTAAATGAATATTAAATTCATTCCTTCAAAAAGACCAAATTACCCCTCTATTACTCTATTCTTAATACTTAGTCTTAAACACAATTTCCTAAATCATTCTTTACACTTTTCAATTTACTCAATTAAACCCACCAAATTTTAAATTCTTTCACTATGGTCACTGACCCGATGTTTGGGATAATATAATTCTCCCCCTTAAGAAAATTCGTCCTTGAATTTAAAGACTTTATGCTTTTATCAAAGCACTTTAACTAAAGGAATCGCCTTGCTATGTTGTTTCTGATTTCTCGAGCCAAGATCCGTACTGGTTCTTCTTTATAAGTTAAATCTAATCGAATATATTTTCTCTTTAGATCAGCATAAGACTTTTGTCGATCAGATGCCATCTTGATATTGTCTTGAATTATATTCACTTTATCCCTAACCTCTTACCATAAATTAGAGCCAATCATATTTTGATCTTTTAACTCAAACCAAATTAATAGTGTTCGACATTTCTCCCATATAAATCTTTGTACGGAGCCATCTTGTTGTTCAATTGATAACTGTTGTTGTAGGCAATTCCTGCTAAAGGCAAAGATTTTTCCCATGATCCCTTGAAATCAATTACACATGCCCTCAGCATATCTTTAAATTTTGAATAGTAAGCTCCAACTGAACATCCGTTTGCGGATGAAAGGTTGTACTGAAATTCAATCGAGTACCCAAAACTTTATACAAGAAATTCTAGAATCTTGAAGTAAATCTTGGATCTATTCGGGTATGATCGATACTGGCACTCCACGTAGCCGAATTATCTCTTATATGCATAACTCATCATATTTATCCATCGAATAATATGTTTGTACCAATATAAAGTGAGTTGTCTTGGTAAATCTATCAACAATCACCCATAATAAGTCTTTCTTGCTAGGTGTCAAAGGTAGCCTTGTAATAAAGCCCACAGTGACTCGTTTCCCCTTTCCATTAATGAATCGAGATTGATTGAAACAATCTGAAAAATACTTGTTGTTCAACTTTTCCTCTATTGGTATGTCAGATACTTTGCCACAATTCCTGTGATGGCTCTTTTCAAACCAGGCCACCAAACTGACTATTTAAATCTTGGTGCCTCTTGTTTCCACTTGAATGCATAGTCAACGAACTTATTGCCCCAAAAAGAATATCTTTCTTAAATTCTTCATCGTCGGGAATACAATGTCTCCCATGATAATACAAACATCCGTTGAACCTTACCTTAAAAGTCCTCAATCTCTTCATTTTCAACTTATACAATTCTTATCATGATATTTTTATCTTTCCTGTCTCAAGTTCAACTCTTTTTTGAGTCCACAAGTACTTTATGCTTTTGTAATTAGCATAACTATAACACCGCTTACCATACAGATAATGACGTCAAATCTTTAAAGTAAACTCAACTGTTGCCAACTCTAAATCATGCGTATGGTAATTCTTCTTGTGAGTCTTTAACTTTATCAAGGCATATGCCAAAACTTTATGTTTTTGCATAAGCACCCTTCCTAAGCCGTTAGGAGAAGCATCACTAAAAACCACATAATATTTACCCAACTCAAGTTGTATAAATAGTGGTGCCTATATTAAAATCCTCTTTAGCATTTCAAAACTCTATTCTGGGTTGGAATACACCAAAATATCATCTATAAATATCACTACAAATTGATCCAGGTAATATTGGAATACTCGGTTCATCAAGTCCATAAATACTGCAGGAGCATTCTTCAATCCGAATGACATCACTACAAATTTGTAATGTCCATACCAAGTCCAAAAAGTTGTCTTTGATATATCCTCCTCTTTAATCTTTAATTGGTGGTATCCTGACCTAAGGTCTATCTTAAAGAACATTGTTGTGCCATTCCATTGATCAAACATATCACCAA